TAGATTATCGTTAGACCATCTTGTTGATATTTTAATTCATTAAACATTATTTCTAACCAAACTGCTTAGGTAACGCAACTTGCAGCAGCTATATATTTTGCTTTTGCAATTGAAAGCACTATTATTTATTATTTTTTAAAGGACTAAGAAAATACATTTGAACCAAGATTAAACACATAACTTGAAGTACTTTTCCTTTTTTCGGTGTCACCTACCCAATTATTGTATGTATAATCAATTAATTCAATCTTGTTAATGGTTGAATACAAAATGTCATCATCAAGCATTCTTTTAATATATCCCAATATTTTCTTTGCAGCTTAGCAATGAGATTGTCTTGGTGATTCCTTAAATCTGCTCATAATATCAACTCCATAAACAATATCAGGTTTAATTGCTGTTAAGTACCTCAAGCTTCCAATAAGTCTATTGAAGTTTGTTACATCAACAAAATCATTGCTGCTCTTTTTCACAAGCTTTAACGTTACTTCATTTAGTGTTAGTATTGGTTTATAGGTGTCCATCTTAAATTTCTTCAAAATATGTCTTGCATATTTGTTTTGTGAAATGAATATGGCTTTATCTGCTTGATTAGCCTCAATACCAAAAAAACAAGACGTTAACCCATATATGTCATCTCAAAGTGGGCAATCATATCCTCTCTAAATTTTGACAGAAGTCTTAGATTATTATCTGTGAAGATCAAATCATCAACATAAGGCAAACAATAATGATGTCTCCATCATTATTTTGATACACAGAGTATACTCGTACAGACACTTTTAAAAATAATGATCAAGAAAATAAGTGTTAATACGTGTATACAATCCCTTGGTGCTTGTTTAAGCCCACATAAATCTTTTTTCAATCGATAAATTTTATCTTCTTCACCTTTTTTTTCATAATTAGGTATTTGTTCAACGTACACTTCTTCTTTGAATACACAATTTAGAAATGCTGACTTTACATCTATTTGATATATTTTCCAAAAAATTTGGGCAACAAGAGAAATGATCATACATACAATATCCAATCTAGCAATAGGTGCAAATACTTCAAAGTAATCAAAGTCTGATTTTTGTTTGTATCTTTTTGCAACTACCATCAGTTAAAATTATTCCATTTCTCTATTAGGCTTATAATTTGTCTTATACATCCATTTGACTCTAATTGGCTTCTTCCCTTTCGACAGAGCAGTTAATTCCTATGTATTATTGTTTTTAATGGCAAAAATTTCTCCATCCATCGCTTTAATCCACCAATCATCATTAAATATTTCTTCAAACACTACTAGATGATAATCTAGAAAGAAAACATAATAAACAACATCTTCATCATCATTAAGATCATCATTAACTTCATAATCCTTTAAATAAATAAGTGGATGACGATCCCATTATGAGTGCTTAAATATAGGAGAAGATGAAGCTTTTGGAACAACACCAGATGATTCTTCAGAAACTAAAGGAGAAGATTGCTCATCAATGTGAATACTGTTTATATTTCATAGTTTATGAACATAGTAACTGGCAACGATGTTTTTTCTTTTTCTAACCATTCCCATACTCCATCTTCATCAAAAGTAACAAAATGGCTAATGATTACCTTTTGGGTCTTTGAGTTGTATAACCTATAAAGAGGAATTTCAAAACTAGATCTGAAATATAAATAACCAAACTCATATCAAATCAAAGATATTAGATTTGTAACAAAGCGTACTTGAATCCATAACGGAAGAAATTTGCACATCCTATGATAGATCTTCCAAATAACACGTTGTCTTTTGAGTTCTTACACTCTCTTATTTTTGGTGATGAGATATTAAAATAGAAAAACCTTACGTGTAATTTGGAGACCATAACCACCTATTTATAGGCAAACCTGTCTGTGAATTTTTTATCTCCTTAATTTGACCCACCATAAAATTAGAAATTACAAATTTAGTCTTTACATAAAAATAAAGTCCACACTTTAATTTGATGCATTAAGGCATAATATACTTTTAATTATATTAGATCACTTTTTAACCGGGACTAATTAATTCGATAGCCTTTTACGCACAGTAATTTACACATATAAGCCGATATAATAAATTTAAAACCCAATAATCTCCCACTTGTGCTATATATGTTACGTTATAATTGTGCACTAAATAACTTTATGAGTGCTCTAAATTTTGCTATCATTACTTGAATGCATCCCTAAACAATCATGTCAATCAATCATATTAACATAGAATCAAAATGGTTTTTGCTACATCTATCATACTAAACCCATCAATGGTCACGTATATCTATATAATTTAATGATATAGACCAAGCATGGATGTGTAACATGGAAATTACATGCAATGTGACCCAAAGCATGCCTATTTCTAACTAGTCCTACCTTAAACCTTAGTGAGATCAACTTTAAGAGAGTTCAGAGATAAAATAAACTGAATTCTTTATAACTGAAACATGATAACCAAGTATACGTAAACCTTTTCCAAAGTTTACCAAAAGACATG